CAGCCAGCAGTTCTAGGGTGTCCAAGGTGTGCTGGCCCCTGTTCTTTGTGCTGCACACATGTTAGGCACTTACACTTAATCCTCACGGCAGCCTCCTGAGGAAGGGGCTGTAATCATCCCATTTGAGATGAAGACGCTGAGGCATAATGGGACTGAGCAGCGGGTCACCGCTTCCTTCTCTGTCCCTCTCCCTGGAGAGCCGGGACCTCTGTCTCACTTCCTGGACCCCAGTACCAGCCTGCATGGTCACAGGCATACTAGGTGGTCAGCAGTCAGGCTTAACAGGTGGACACCTTCATTCATTCTCAGCATCAACAGCGAGCACAAGGAGGTGGTGTTTCTCCTTGGCACTTTTTTTGTTTGGCTAAGGCTTCCTGAGCCCCATCGGTGTGTGAAGACGTCGTGCCAGGCACAGGGAGCCCGTGAACTTGAGGCGATGGCTACTGGGGCAGGTGGGAAAAGGCAAGAGGGCTCTCACTCGCGCCCCAGGAGTGTAAGGAGCCAGTGCAGCTCAGGCTGATGTACCAGAGCTTCTTGGAGGAGGTGACCTTTGGAGGAGCCTGGAGAGAATAAATGGCATTTTCAGGGTGTGATAGAGCATTCCAGGCTGAGAAGAGACACGGAGATGAGAAGGCAGCTGCCTCTGTGTTAGGAAGTGCTTGGCAGGCAAAACGCTGCTGAAATTCCAAACGGCTTTGGGCTCTGCTGCCTCTGGGTGGATCAGGATCGTTGGGGTAGTTTTTGCTGGAAAGGACTATGGCAGGGGGCAACTTGTAGCATGAGACCTGGTCATGCTGGATTAGCGGTGTACAGAGTAGGGCAAAATTACTAAGAAATGCCAAGTACCTCTGACCTGGTCTGAGCATGTCTGCAGGTTAAATAGTGCTTGTCAGTGGGGGAAGGTATGTCAAGACCCCCCCACAGGTCACCCCAAGTTCCCCTCTCATTCCATTCAGGCCCTGCCTCCCTGGTAGCAACCCAGGAGCTTGGCTTGTCCTTGATCCTCTGGGACAGGGACTGGGCAGCCCTCCGGCGGGGGTGTCTGAGTCCAGGCGGAGACGTTGCGTCAGCAAGGCTGTCTGCTGGGGTGGGCCTGCAGGGGTGAGAGCCTCCACTGCGACAACCAGCAAGAGCCATGTCCCCCAGAACGGGATGAGTCAGCCGCGTCGGTGCGGCTGCCACTCCTGCTTCTGCGGCAGGTGCGTGTGGAGGCATGCAGGTCCCGAGGCCACCGCGTGCTGTGCCTGTCTCTTCCCCAGCGTGTGCCGCGGCATAGCACCAGGCTCCGTGAGCGCGGGCACGTATGTGTCCCCACGGGCCCGTGTGTGCCGGGTGTGCACCTTTGCTGTGAGGCAGCCAGCCTTCCAGCCAGACGGCAGGATGCCCAGTTTGGGAACGCTGGTTAACTTTGCTTCTCACCAAGTTTGGGGTGGAGGGCGCAAAACAGGAAGGAGCCGGTTTCCGCCCACGAGGCCCACCCACGAGGTGCAGGGCAGTGGGAACTTGTCTGGGGGCCTATGCGCTGTCCCTGGTGAGGCAGCAGCTGCTGGCTCCCTGGGCTCAGGCGGGGCCCTGCTGGGCTCCGGGGAATCCCAGGGGGCTTTACTTCCTGAGCCTGTCTGGACACATTCTAAAGGGACAGGAACCTGTTCTAAAGCAGATGTCAGCCTGGAGGGCTGGTGGAACTTGGGCAGGCGTCTGGGGAGGGAAGACTCCAGCTTGTGCTTTAAGCTGCTGGGGGATCCAGTGTTCACCCAGCACACGCAGGATGGGAGCCTTGTGGGAGAGCAGGTGTCCACGGTTCTCGTTGTTTTTCAAAACCGGAGCCTACAGGGCCTTCCTGTGAGACTCTGGGTGCCAGCCCTGGACCCCAGAACCCCAGGACCCCTGAGGAGCACGCACGTTGCTTACTTTCTTGCATTTCCTGCCCCGCTCACCCCATATCTCTGGGCTCCCAGTCCCCATTCAGCAGCTCAGGTACAGAGTCTGTCTGCCAGCCCAGAGCCTGAGTGCAGTCTCTCTCCTCCAAGCTCTAGTCCTGCTGTTTTCCCCAGAAGCCATGAGTGGTGCTGCATTCTGGCCCTCTCCAGTCGACAGAGCCTTTCTGACTGCATTCTCTTCTTTGAGCCACATCAGACTTGGGCTACCCAGGCCTGCATTCAAACTTATTTGACTGAGACCCACAGTAGATATGTAAATATGCATATTACACCGTGGCCCAGGGCAAACTTTTTTTTTTTTAAAGATGACCGGTAAGGGGATCTTAACCCTTGACTTGGTGTTGTCAGCACCTGAGCGAACCGGCCATCCCTATATGGGATCCGAACCCGTGGCCTTGGTGCTATCAGCACCGCACTCTCCCGAGTGAGCCACGGGCCGGCCCCGCACACGTATGTTTGTATATAAAACCAAGATGTCCGTTCAAGGAATAATGCCCTTCCTGGGTGTACACACTTGATTACTTTACATTTTGCTGCCTCTTTTCCCCTCGTGCTGGTTCANGGGCAAACTTTTTTTTTTTTAAAGATGACCGGTAAGGGGATCTTAACCCTTGACTTGGTGTTGTCAGCACCTGAGCGAACCGGCCATCCCTATATGGGATCCGAACCCGTGGCCTTGGTGCTATCAGCACCGCACTCTCCCGAGTGAGCCACGGGCCGGCCCCGCACACGTATGTTTGTATATAAAACCAAGATGTCCGTTCAAGGAATAATGCCCGTCCTGGGTGTACACACTTGATTACTTTACATTTTGCTGCCTCTTTTCCCCTCGTGCTGGTTCAGTGTCACCACCCCCTCATGTTCTGTGACTCGCAGTTGGAAACCACCGAGAGTAGAGTGGGGTGTCATTCCTACACCCATCCTATAAATGAGGAGACTGAGTCCAGGAACTTGCTCCAGGGCCCTGAGCAAGTGAGGGGCAGGTCCTGACCTGTACCAGGGGTGACAGCCACCCAGCCTGGGACAGAGTGAGGCTGAGTTGCTCTGGGACTCCATGGAGGGGAAGGCCAGAAACCCCTGGGAGGACTCAGCCCCTTTGGCCTAGAAAGTGCAGTGTGACTTGCTGCAGGAAGGCTGGTGCCTCCTGGAGTGGAGGGGCTCCCTTTCAGGACCTGGCCAGGGGGCTAGGACATTTGTCCATTAACCCTTTAAGCCACACAGTCCCTCACGTTCACAATGGGTCTGGCACACGCCTAGGTACTGAGGCAGAGGCTTGAACAAAACAAAAGTCACTGCTCTCACGGGGCTTCCGTGCTAGTGGCTGTTGGATAATAATCAAATAAATCTATAGTTATGACAGATGTTATGAAAGATGTTATGTGAGATGTTATGAAAAAAATTCAAAAGCCAGGGTAAGAGGGAGAGGGAGTATGGGGTGGGAGTTGCTCTCATACCAGGAGGGGAACGAGCCCCTCCAAGGACGTGATGTCTGAGCAAACAGGGAGGAAGCAAGAGGCCACCGGGCAGAGAGAAATCTAAGGGAGGGGGTTCCAGGCGGGGGTGCAAGTGTGAGTGGCTGGAACACGGCCCTGCCCTGCAGGCTGGTCCATCTGCAGGAGCCCATTCGACTTGACCAGCACTGCTCAGGACCCCACTGTGCAAGTGGAGGGCACGAGATGCAGCCCCCCTGGCTCCCCGCCTGCAGGCCGGGCTGGGCTCCCTGCATCAGTGCCTCCCCAGCACCTCCACCCCACTTGCCTGGGCCTCAAGGGCTGGGCTGGCCCCTTGGCCGGGGCACAGGTTCTCCTTCACCTTCTGCAGACTCCTGTGCAGAGACCTGAGGTGCCTTCCTACCTCCCACCCACCTTCAGAGCTCCTTCCCCAAACACATGCGCACACACGGAGTACCAGACAGCGCTGCACTGCAGGCCTCACCCCCCACGGAGATGCCCCAGGGTAGAGGTGGTGCCCCAGATGTGGGTGCTCTGCTTTTCCACTCTTCTAGGGTCCACGTCTGGGGTTTTGTGACCCTTGCTGGTACTGGAGAGCCAGTGCAGGCTCTGGGGGAGAGACAGCCTCAGCCCGCACTCCTGGTCCCTAGCACGTCTTCATGCTGTGACCCTGCCTGCCCTGTCCCCAGAATCTGCTGGACCTGGGCAATCACTAGGAAGGCCGTATTGAACACTCGCTGTAGACCTAGGGGCTGAAGGCTAAGTCCTTGCTTCTGGTGTGGGGGGCTCAGATCAGGCAGGCACTGCTGGGCCTACCAAGGGGATGGGAGACGTGGCAGCGGTGGGTGGGGAAGAAGTGGACATGCAGGGGGCAGCTCTGAGAGAGGCCGGCCGAAGCAGGGTGCAGGGTAGAGTGGGATCAGCCAAGGGGTAAATCATTCTTGAATGTGGCTTTGGACTTCGCCTTGTAAACACTGGAAGCCACAGAAGGCCTTCGACTGTGTTGAGTGTCTTAGGTGTTTGAGGGAGATGAGCTCAGTGCCCGGCAGGTAGGCCTCTGCCCGTGTTGTCTGTTGTCTGTGGTCGGGAAGGAGGGGTGTGTTTCAAAGGCCAAGTCAGCCGGGCTGGGCAGCCAACCCACTATGAGGGCTCAGGAGGCAGGGGGGTGAGCGGAGACCCTCAGACTCAGTCCCTTGCAGCCTTCACTGAGGGGACCAGGCAGTTCCAAGGGAAGGTGGTGTGGGGGGGCCCAGGCTCTTCTGGGAGGCTCACTTGGAGCCAGAGCACAGGAGCTTAGGTGGAGCCTCAGGTCACGCCACTTCCTCCATTGCATGGCCTGTGGACTTTGGGCTAAGGTGAGACAGATGGCCATGGGGGTGGCCCCCAGCAGTGTTGGGAGACGTGCTCACTTCTCCACATCCTGTCACTGTGCAAGGCCCACCCATTCTGCATTGGGCACCATGACAGGCCCCTGGAGTCCAGGCCTGACTGGGATGAGGGTCACCTAGGGCTGGCTGGGAGCTGTGGCAGTGTGGTGGGGTGGTGGTAGCAGCTCCATCTGAGCCTATTGCCCCAGCCCCTGAGGGTCTCTATCTGTCTCCCTCTACAGTGATGGGTCGTTCCCCTATGACTCTGTCCCTTGGCAGCAGAACACCAACCAGCCTCCCGGCTCCCTCTCCGTGGTCACCACGGTTTGGGGAGTGACCAACACATCCCAGAGCCAGGTAAGAGACTATGCCACCCCCAGCTCCTTTCAGACAGGAGCATCCCTCAACCCTTGGAGCCCTCAGGTCACCATGACACATCAGCCCTCCTTGCCAGGATCTTCCCAGCTGGGAAGACCAGTTTTCAGGGCACACCTGATTGTGGACACATCTCCATCCAGAAAGGGACCACACCCACCTTAGGAGGGCAGCATCTGGGCCCCTGTGGACTGCTTCCATCCTAGGGCTTTCGGGGGAATGGCTTTCATCTGACAAGTGGCAAGGTTGGATAAGCAGGAGCACTTCCTGTGTATTACTGTCCTCAGGGCTCCAAAGTATGGAGTCTTTGACCCTGGATGCCGGGGTTAGATTTCAGCAAAATGTTGTGCCTTGAGCTTGTGACAAACCCCCAGCATTACTGTCCTCAGGGCTCCAAAGTATGGAGTCTTTGACGCTGGATGCCGGGGTTAGATTTCAGCAAAATGTTGTGCCTTGAGCTTGTGACAAACCCCCAGCCACACCCCCTAGTCAAGCTGCCTCCCACTCCTGTTCCTTCCTCTCTCCTCTTTGCTTTACTCCTCCTCTGCCCTCATGGAGGTTCTCTTGACCCCTGCCAGCCTTGGCTGTGGCGACATGAAAGGCTCGGGACTGGTTGCTGCCCTGAAGGGACACTTCGGCTTCCCTCTGGTCTCAGGCCACAGGGGCCCTTGGCCAGTATCCTGCTGCCTCCAGAGCTAGCAAGTTGGGCTTCTCTTGGCCCTCCCAAAGCAGCAGCCCAGGGCCTGTGGGTGGCCCACCCTCAGGGCATCCAGGCCCCTTTGTGGGGCAGGAGGTCGAGCAGTCCTGTGTGATCCCCACCTGCCACCTGGTGCAGCACCAGTCTCCCTCCCACGGAGCTGCCCAGGCCCTCGGGACCACGTGAGCTGACCTTGTGAACCTCATCCCATCCCAGTGCTCAAGCTCTCATCTCTGTACCGCCTGCTCCCCAGGCCCACCCCCTTCTAGTCGTTTGTGTTCTCTGGGGACAGTTAGTGACACCCCATTTTTCCTCCTCCTCCTTTGCTGTCCTCTCCTGTTTCATTCTCCCTCCTCCCTCCCTTTTTCTCCCTCTTCCTCTTCACGCCCCTGGGGTGCTAGCTGGGGTGACAACCCCTCTGTCTGTGCACAGGTCCTCGGGAACCCTATGGCCAATGCCAGCAACCCCATGAACCCAGGCGGCAACCCCATGGCCTCGGGCATGACCACCAGCAACCCCGGCCTCAGCTCCCCGCAGTTCGCTGGGCAGCAGCAGCAGTTCTCGGCCAAGGCCGGCCCCGCTCAGCCCTACATCCAGCAGAATATGTACGGCCGGCCCAACTACCCCGGCAGCGGGGGCTTCGGGGCCAGGTGAGTGGGGCTGCCCTGCGGCGGCAGCCTGAGAAATTGCACGTCAGCCCTGCCGTCCCCCCATCCAGGTGGGAGGGTCCGGTGTAAACCCCTGGCCTGAGAAGCGCGGGCGAACTGCCCTTGTCTTGTCCTTGGCTGCCCCGTCCATGGAAGGGGCGCAGTCACCCCTGGTCCTCGGGCTGGCCTGTAGATCAGACACCGCAGCAGAAGGCCTACGTTCTTAACCTCAGAACGATCCTTCTCTGCCTCGTATCTTTCTAAATTGGAAGGTGGTGAGAGAGCTGGGCTGGGAGAATTAGGAGCAGCTATGGGAGGTGTCCGGGAAAATCCGCTCTGCCTTGCTGACTCACGGAGGCAGACTGTACAGAGACTGGGAGTTCCTCAGGTCAGGAGGAAAGGAGGACAGGCAGGGAACTCCAGGAGGGAACTCTGGAGACACGAGGTGGGACAGATGCAGACAAGCAGAGGTGCCCATCCGCTTCTTGCTGCCCTGCCCTGTCCAAGACCCCCACCTTGGCCTCCCCTCTCCCCAGCTCCTGGGACTGACTGCAGCCCTGCTGGGTTTCCGGCCCAGGGTTGGCAGAGCGTTACGGCCTGCTGGTATCATGCAGGTGTCAGACACACCTGAAGCTGCAGCCATGAGGGTACAGTGCCACCCAGCGAGGGCTGCAGGACACAGCAGCGTGGTAGTGGCATCAATGGCTGCCAACCCTGGGAGGCCCTTGTCCCCTCTGGGTTCTGAGCCTACGTGCGTCACCCACTTGTGAGCTGAGGGCAGGGACGGCCTGGGTCCAGCCCCGTTCTCTCCCCCCACCAGCCCAAGGGTTATCATGGGTTCCTCTTCGGATTCAGGCAGTATCTCACTCTTCCATCCTTCCCTGCCCTGCAGTTACCCCGGCGGTCCTAATGCCCCCGCAGGCATGGGCATCCCTCCGCACACCAGGCCACCTGCTGACTTCACGCAGCCGGCAGCCGCTGCCGCAGCAGCTGCAGTGGCGGCAGCAGCAGCCACGGCCACAGCCACGGCCACAGCCACTGTGGCAGCCTTGCAGGAGACGCAGAACAAGGATATAAACCAGTATGGACCGGTAAGAGTCCCACTTGCCCTGGTCCAGCCTCACCCAGCCAGGCAGACGACTCCGGAAATGAGAGTTGGGGTGTTGGTGCTTGTGGGCCCGTGTGTGCTGGGGCAGCTGATGGTGTCAGGGTGCACCTGGGTCTTCTTGGAAGTACGTGGAGGGGTATGTGTTAGGATGTGGGGGTGTCAGAGCGGTGTTTGAGAGCTTGTGTTTGTTCTGCGTGGGTTGGTGGCTCATGTGTGCCTGCATATGAGGAAGGAGGTTCTATATTGCTCTCTGGAACCCCCAGAGAGTGGCCTTATTGTCTAAAAGTAGGCTTATTACCAGTCTGTCCCCAGATGCTTTCTGAGGCCAGTGGTCTAGTCAACCCATCTGTGGGTTCTGCCCAGGCCCCAGCACTGCTCCCCTGACCTTCAGAAGGATGGGGTGGAGTGTGGGGGATGGGGGAGCCCCAGAGGAATGCAGGGCAGGGAGTGTGGAGGTGGGGACTGCGGGGCGGGTGGGCAGAAGTGGAATCTGGGATCTAGTCAGACTTCGTGGATGGAGCGAGTGTCTCCGTTGCCAGGACCAGGGCTTCCGGGAAAGGGGCTCAGCCTCCCTCGGGCTCCGGCCTCCATCCTCATCCACCTCCACCCTCCTGTGCCCCTCCCCTTTGTTCCTGCACTCCCTCCGCTGTCCCTGCCTGCCTTCCTGGAAATGCTGCCTGTGCATCTGAGTGACTGCCCCACCCACCCCCATAACACCCCCAGCTGCATCTTTCCTGTGTGGCCTGCAGAGGGCAGCAGTGAGCCCCAGAGGACAGCGGTCCCTTGGGGCCTGTCACCAGCCTCACCCCCACAGGAATATGCCCCCCACCTCCCCCACCCTTCCTTCCCTGCACTTTCAATGCATGTGGCATTTTATTCTTTTTTTTTCTTCTTCTCCTGTTGAAGGTCTGTTCCTCTTTCCAGATGGGTCCCACCCAGGCGTATAACAGCCAATTCATGAACCAGCCCGGGCCACGGGGGCCTGCCTCCATGGGGGCCGGCATGAACCCCGCAAGCATGGCGGCTGGCATGACGCCCTCGGGGATGAGTGGCCCGCCCATGGGCATGAGCCAGCCCCGGCCGCCCGGCATCAGCCCCTTCGGCACACACGGGCAGCGGATGCCCCAGCAGACCTACCCGGGCCCCCGGCCCCAGTCCCTTCCCATTCAGAGCATAAAGAGGCCCTACCCTGGAGAGGTGAGTGTGACAGCAGACGGGGTGGGCAGGGTGACAGGTGGCAACTGGGCTTGAAGGCTCAGGTAGTGGGCAGAGCCTTGGGAAGGGCGTGGCTGGGCCTCTGGAGACCTGTACCCAAAGGCAGGGCCTCGGGAGGGATGCTCCCGGGCTTGAGACCTGGTGCTGCCGGTCCCCAGCTGGATGGCCAAGCAAGTCATGCCACCTCCCTGAATCTCAGTTTTTCACTTGAGAATGGCAGTGACAATCCAGTCCACCTCCTAGGGCTGCCTAGGGACGTGCATGAGGGATGGACGGGACGTGCTTCACCCGGGCCAGCAAGTAGAGCCGCTTAGAGAGCAGTAGCCACTGTTACTGTTCCCCTCCGTCCTGGCTCGGGTGCTAACGGGGTGACTTTGGGCAAGGACCTAAACCTTCTTGGGTTTAGTGCCTCATGCCTACGTGAAGGCTTCCTGAACTTTCCTCTAAGAGTGAGTGCTGAGACAAAACGCTTTAAATACATAAAGGCTGTGCAGGCAGGGGGACATGGCCCGGAGGCAGGCGGCGTGTTTCTTCAGTCTCGTCTCCGTGAACGGCCAGTCGCTGTGTCATGAGTAGCACCGCCTCTTGGGCTACCCAGCCAGCTCAGCTGCGGTGTTGGGAAGAGTTTGTATGGAACTCAGTGTGTAGTCGGAGGAGGCAGACTTCCTGGAGGAGGTGTCGCAGGGCTCCACTGAGCACTCAGAAAACAAGCTGGCAGAACTGGCCCAACTGGTACCTGGGTGAGGATTTAGTTCACCCGCACAAGACACAGGTTCCCCAGAATCCTAACCCAGCAGACACCCCTCGCGAAGCCCGCCTTGACCGCTCACACGGACTCAACCCCTTCCTGAGCGTGGGGCCCCCAGCTCCCTGCTTGCACACTTTTTCTCGGAACAGCTTCCTCCTCCTATCTGGTCTCAGAACTGCGGCCTTCAGCTTGGGCTTACAGTGGGTTTAGGTCCTAAAAACCTTAAGTTCCTTGAAGGTCTGTGCAGTTCCCCTCGTCATCCGTCCTAGCACAGGCCTGAGTCCAGGAGGGGACGGAGGGAGATCAAGGGCTTCCTCAAACATCCAGGAGGCTGAGTCAAGCCTTGGTTCCCCAGGTCCTGGCTGTCCTCAGGGGGGACCTCAAACTGCTGGCCTCACTCCCAGCACACAGCCCCCCACAGTTACTGAGTCCTCTTCTCAGCACCCTCTGTGCTCAAAGAGGGCCTTGGGGCTGCCGGCACCAAGGGAGGCCATCGGGTACAGCTGCAGCAGGATTCCTGGTCATTAGCAGCAACCTGCACCTACCTGCACTAGTGTCGTGCCCCACCTCTCCCGCCCACTTGCCTGCCATAAGAGAGCCCACAAAAGGCCCTCCGTTTTTTGCTAAATTAATCATCCTCTTCATAGAACGCCACTGCTCCCCAGCTACAAAGTGCCTGATGCTGGATTGTGACACTGGGTGGTCCCCAGCTGCGTGGCCTGACCCTGTCTGGGAAGACTGGCCTCCACCTCGCCGTGGCAGGCTCCTGCAGTGTTTAAGTTGCTAGAACCTTAGGGTGGGGCTGGAGTCAGGTCCCCTGGTCCTGTACAGGACTCTTCCTTGGCCTGGTGGGGGATGGGATGCCTCAGGGGATGGGAGCCTCAGGGCAGCCTTGTATCACAGCAGTGGGAGGTGTAGAAAGGTCTTTGACACTGACACACTCTGATGCTTACCCACAGGCCCTTCATTCATTGGGTGAGCAGGTATTAAGGGCCTGCCCTTTGCCAGGTCTGGGGGCACACTGATGCTTACCCACAGGCCGGCCCTTCATTCATTGGGTGAGCAGGTATTAAGGGCCTGCCCTTTGCCAGGTCTGGGGGCACAACCACCAGCTGGACATCTGGGCCTAGAGGGCAAGAGAGACACTTAGACAGGGAGTCTCAACAGAAAAAGAAGATGAAGCCACTGACTCCACAGGACGTTGTGTTTGGATGTCTCTGCTGTAGGTGACCCTGAGGGTCACCTGATTTTCTAGATGGGGAAGGTGGTTGGAGGGTGGAGATGTCTCCTCTTCTCTCTAAATTGCCTCTCCCAGGAGGGATTGCCTTGTCTTGTCCCTTCACAGACCTGGTTCTCCCGACTTCTGCACAGGTGGCAGGTTGTCAGTGGCCTGGAACTGATCACTGGGAGTGTATTCTGCTCAGTGTGAGGTTTGGGTACAGTGCCACCCAGATTCAGCCTCAGAATGCAGGGGGGTCACCTTTCTAGAAGTGCATCCTGTTGTCTGCATTCTCCAGTCACACTGGGGAACACGGCTCTGAGCCAAGCACTAGGAGAGACACAGAGGGGGGCTTTAGAATTGGTCCCCCTCAAGATGGCATGAATGAGATGCTCTGAAAGTATCCCTGGAGTTCAGAGGGCAGGCGCTCCAGGGAGAAGAGCTTTGGGGGGAGGTGGATGTGAACTGTTCAGGCAGAGTGTCATATCCCTCGATGTCAGGGCAACAAGGGACCTCAGACATCATCTGGTTCAGCCTCTCCCCTTCACAGGTGGGGAGGGCATTTTATGAGTGGAAAACAGAAGGGGTAAAGGAAAGGTGGGCCCAGTCCTGGCATTCAGGTGAGTGGCTTGGCTAAGTGACATTGACAACCTTTCCCCTGTTTGTTCTCTGCCACCACAGCCCAACTATGGAAACCAGCAATATGGACCAAACAGCCAGTTCCCCACCCAGCCAGGCCAGTACCCCACCCCCAATCCCCCGAGGCCGCTCACCTCTCCCAACTACCCCGGGCAAAGGATGCCAAGCCAGCCGAGCACCGGGCAGTACCCACCACCCACGGTCAACATGGGGCAGTATTACAAGGTGAGACACACCCTCGGGTGCCCACACCACCCCTTCGGGCCCCTTCCCTCCTTACCATGTCACACCTCTAACCCCACCAAGGAGATGGAGATTTCTGGATGTTCCCTGTGGTCACAGCTAAGTTTCAGTGACCAGAAAGTGAGATTGGCTTTCCTTGGCTCCTATTCTCATGGGGCTTGGATGATGGTTTCTTTCTCTTTTTCTTATTTATGGCACACACAAAATAATAAAGGAAATACAGTTGTTAAAGGAAAAGCACACACACCCTGACTACATGAACATTTCATTCTGAACATTGTCTCTACATGTGGGTGGGCATGTATGAAATTATACATGTTACAACATGTTACAGAATTGTTGTTACAGCTGTAACTTTGAATCTGTTCCTTTTACTTGACCTGAAATCATAAGCATGTTACTTATTGCTACGGAGTCCCTGTGGTTGTCACTTTCGATGGCTGCCTGGTGTTCCACTGAGACACCCTCGCCTTGTTTTATTACACACGACACACACACACGACACACACACACGACACACACACACACACACCACACCACACACACACACCACACGACACACACACACGACACACACACACACACACCACACAGACACACACACACCTTGCCATGCTGGGAAGGCCGTAGTGAGGCTGCCAGAGACACCTGGTGTGGACGTTCAGGACATGGGAACTGGGACACTCATGCGGAGGGCCAAGACTCCCACATAGGGACAGACCCCTGTGCAGCCTGCCTGGACTGGGGCCCTGCTCCCTCACCCCACTCCTTAGCTGTGAGTTCCCTCGCCTGGGAGGCTCCTGCAACTCCGTCAGTGCTGCATCCCCAGGGCCCACCTTGGGTGGGGTTGAGCCAGAAACAGCCCTGGCCCGGGAACAGTGCTCCCAGCAGGGGTCTGGAGATGGGCATAACCAGCCTCGCAACTGGTCGAATTTGTGTTCTTCTCTCCCTCCTTCTGTGTCCTGGGGGAACAGGCATCACCTTACAGGGAGGGAAACCAGGGGGATGTAGCTGGAGCTCCGGGAATGCTGGGATGGGTTTTGATTGCTGTATGGGAGGGGGATATCCAGGGTGAGAGGAGAACTCAGTGATCTGGGAGAGCGGTCGTGGCCAGTGATGGGGTCCTGAAGGACTCAGTGGGGTGCCTTTCGAGGTGCGCATTCTGGCTCAGGGTCACTGAGGCCACGGGCAGGCCCCCTCGCAGAGCCTACCTGAGCCCCACCCTGGCCCCTCCCCAGGTCTGACCTAGAGCTGCAGTTCAAGTGCTACCACCATGAGGACAGGCAGATGAACACGAACTGGCCGGCCTCGGTGCAGGTCAGCGTGAACGCCACGCCCCTCACCATCGAGCGCGGCGACAACAAGACCTCGCACAAGCCCCTGCACCTGAAGCACGTGTGCCAGCCGGGCCGCAACACCATCCAGATCACCGTCACAGCCTGCTGCTGCGTGAGTGGGTTGGGGGCCCAGGGCCGTCTGCCCACTCTGCAAGTGGCAGGACAGCACAGGACACAAACAGGCACATCGTAGGAGCATGAGATACTCGGCCCCTCTCTGCTACTCAGCCTTGTCCTTGGGTCACCGTCCCCCATCCCCACAGCTGCCAAAGTGATCTTTCAGAAAGACACCTCCACACACTTGCAGGACCCCCCATGGCCAGGGCCCATAGAATGAACTTCAGACTCTGGTGGCCTTGAAGGCCGCCGTGCTCTGGGTCAGACGTGGCCTGCTTCCCTCGCACACTCAGCCTCCGTCCATCATGCGTGCACCTCTACTTCCCTGCTGCAGGCCCCTCCTGCTGGACATCTCCTCCACGTCTTCCGTTGGTGTCCCTCAGAGCTGTGTTCTGCCCTTGAATCATTCACAAATTTTTATAATCTCAGCACCTTCTCCCCCAGATTCAACTGCACCAAACCTGGAGTTAACTCCTGATCCTATTGTCTTAGAGTTGTGTGTATGTTTGTGTGTGTCCCTCCAACCCATGACTTGTTGATCTGGGGCCATGTCTGAGCCACTCTTGTGTCCCCAGAGATCAGGGCTGGCACACAGGCCTTACTCAGGAACTTCCTGGACATAAATTACCTGCTGTGCTCTGCTGGCCTTTCTAGGGCACACGGGAGAAGGAAACACTCAGATCCTGCCCTTGCCAGCATAAGGGCACTGAGGCCACACAGAGATAGGAGTCAAAGGACGAGGGATGCTGTGTGAGGCTGCACAGCTGTCAGAGGGAGGAGCCTGGTGGGGAAAGGTTGGGGTGTGCAGTCCTGGAAGGCTTCCTGGAGGAATGAAGACAGGGATGGGCCCTCCGGCAGGAAGGGCAAAGGACACTTGATGGGAGGCAGTGGGGGGGGGGTTAGGAAGCAAGATGGGCTCCAGTCCTGGTGCCATGTGTCCCATAACCTCATCCAGGAAGTGTTTCAGTGTCAAAGTCCACCTTGTCAGCCTGGAGCAGAGGCAGCTGTCCAGAGTGGTGACCCCAGCCTGGTGCCCTGGATGTCAGGTCACAGGACACATCCTGGGCTTCTAGGGTTCTCTCTCACAGGTCCTGGAGGACCCTCTCCCAGGATGGTATCGCTGTGGGATCTTGGGGGCAGCCTAGGGCTGTGGGGACTGTGGGTGGGGACTGAGGGTCCACTCTCTCTCGGCAGTCCCACCTCTTCGTGCTGCAACTGGTGCACCGGCCGTCCGTCCGCTCCGTGCTGCAAGGCCTCCTCAAGAAGCGCCTCCTGCCCGCAGAGCACTGTATCACGAAAAGTAAGTCGGGGTTGGGGACAGAGTGAGAGCCAGACCCCAGCCCTGCCTGAGTTTGGGGCCGAGAAGTAGTCACTGTTCACCCGGTACTGACCTTTGGCTCCATGCATATCGCCACTGGGCCCTGGGTGTCCCTGAGCAGTCCCCACCTTGGCTTGTGCTCTCCTTCTGGAGCTGTTGTGAAATCAGTTGAGCCAGGCACTGTAAGACCAGGTGGGAATTCTGTGACCTGCCCTGTGTGGAGAAGGGCCAGCTGCCCAGCTCAGGAGCCAGGACAGACACATACAGCAGCAGCACAGGACATGAGGCAGGTTAAAACTAAAGGCCATGGTTATGACAGTCTAGCTGTGCTTCCTGGAGGAGGTGATGGCCAGGGCAGGCCTTGAAGGACAGGCAGGTTTAGAGAAGGGGCATCTTCACTGGGCCAAAGCTATGGGGGGTGGATGCCAGACTGGCCTGCCCCCCTCAGCAGCACTAGAGGGAAGGACTGGGCCTAGAGTCCACTTCTTTGGTGGAGATACCCAGGGTGCCATCTCCTGGGGACACCGTGTGGAGACACTGCCGCTCTTCCTCCCTTTGAGGGTGCTTCTTCACGTTGCCTCCTGGAGCCCTAGAATTCCACCAAGCTTTCACTGACTCAGTAAAACAAAGTGCCAGGCTGGGTTTCTGTGAGCTTCGCAGAAAGTCCCCCATTGCTAGTGAAGGCAGGGCCTGTTCTACAGATAGTGGAGCTGCTGCAGCCGCCTCCTCAGGCACATGCATGCCACATGGGTCACACAAGGAGACTGCCATTTCAGAGTGCTAGGCAGCCTGGGGCACCCGGCAATCTGACCACTCCATTTTGGACCTTCCCAGTGTTTGGTGAGGGTTGGGGAGAGAACCAGGGTGAGTTCCAGCTGCACCAGAGAGTGGGGAGCTCATGCAGACCTGCCACCTCCTCACCCACCTGTGCCTCCCGCCCACAGTCAAGCGGAACTTCAGCAGTGTGGCTGCCTCATCAGGCAACACAACCCTCAATGGGGAGGACGGCGTGGAGCAGACGGCTATCAAGGTGTCTCTGAAGTGCCCCATCACATTCCGGCGCATCCAGCTCCCTGCCCGAGGCCACGATTGCAAACACGTCCAGGTGAGCGGCCCGGGAAGTATACTTCAGGACAAGCCACCTGGAATCTGGCTTGGGGTGGTGAGGGAGAGGCAGGGGGCGGTGACAGGGCCCATGTAATGGTCCTCCCAAAGGACGTCACGCGATCAGCAGTGGGCCCCACTCATGCATTTCAGACATCATCTGTCCTTTGAGCATCTTCTCTGTGCTCAGGGCTGGGTTCCAGGGGGCTACAGAAATGGGTTTAGATAGGCTCTGCCCTGATAAGTCTCAGATGCCAGCTGGAAGTCCTGCACATATGGTCACAGTGGGCTTGGGACCCGGAACAGGGGCGCCTCTGCCTGGTTTGCTGTCGTGTCAGGGCCTTGCCTGGAGCAGGTTCTCAGGAAGTGGCTGTGGAAGGAAGGATTGTCACAGTCCGAGCAGGCTGCAACAGCCTTGTGCAAAATGTGGGCAGCCCGGGCCGGGGGACATTCACCAGCAGAGGCTACTCAGGGAAGGTCTCCAAGAAGAGGGGTACAAGGAGCCCCTCTGCAAGAACCTGGGTATGAGCGTGTGGAGGGGCCCAGGGCTGGCTGCCTCAGCACACCCCGTCGCCCACAGCTGGTACTGAGGACTTCATCATGGGGCAGGATCCTCCCTCCCTCCAGGAGAGAGTGTTGTGGGCACAATGGACAGTCTGGTCACTTTATCTGACACAGATTGACAAACTTTACCTGATTTGTCCCCGGTGCCTGGGCTGGACTGAAGGGGTGGCCAGAGTGCAGGCCCCTGGCCTCAGGGAGAGGGGCTGTCGCACGGCAAAGGCAGTGAGAGGCAGCAGCGGGGGGACCAGGAAGGCTTCTCAGAGGACATAGATCTGGGGCGTGGGGAGGTGGGTGAGGGATTCTGTGGGGTGCGATATGGCTGGTTCGTGCTGTGAGCGGCAGGAAGGTCGCTTGGCTTCTGCTCCACCGGCAAAGGCAGTGAGAGGCAGCAGCGGGGGGACCAGGAAGGCTTCTCAGAGGACATAGATCTGGGGCGTGGGGAGGTGGGTGAGGGATTCTGGGGGTGCGATATGGCTGGTTCGTGCTGTGAGCGGCAGGAAGGTCGCTTGGCTTCTGCTCCACCCAGCCGCATCCCCGTTCTCTCCCACTGCCTGTCTCCCTCCCTGATAGGGAAGTCTCAAGGGTTTCTGGCAGCCCTGGTCTCACCTGTCTGTCTATTTGTCTGTGTCTGGCCTCTGCAGTGCTTTGACCTGGAGTCATACCTGCAGCTGAATTGTGAGAGAGGGACCTGGAGGTGTCCTGTGTGCAAGTGAGTGGTGCCCCTGAGGGGCTTTTCCCCAACTGTGGAGGGATGGAGCTCCTGTCGCTACCCTCTGGCCCTGCTCTTCAGGCTCCAGCCGTGTCCACCTGCCCTAGAAGCAAAAGAGAGAACACAAATAGCAGTGGGGCTCACATTACAAGGGCTCTGGCCGACCTTTTGTGTGAAGCTGTCAGAGGCACCCTCTCCTGTGCCTCTAATACTCACCAGCATCTGCGGCAGCATCTCCTTGACCCAGTGGGGAGGGGTAGGCTGTGCCCCTGCCTCCTGAGGTCCAGGAGCAAAGGCCAAGCCTGCCATCTCCTTTTCCAGTAAAACCGCTCTGCTGGAGGGCCTGGAGGTGGATCAGTACATGTGGGGGATCCTGAATGCCATCCAACAGTAAGTGGGGCCCCCAGCTAGGGGCAGGTGGGAGAGGGAGTGGGAATGCAGCCTAGATTGGAGAGAGATGAGCATGCGCACAGTCCTGAACCCCCTGCACAGACGGCAGGTCTTACCCACACCCCTCACCTCCTGTGACTTGACCTCGGGGGCTTCTGGACCTGGGGGCAAGTGAAAACTCCAGAGGGGATGAAACTCAGCCAGAGCAGGGAGCTGATAGGGCCCCACTGCTGCTCCCTAGGTGGGAGGCCTTGAGGCCAGCTGCCCCCTGCCCAGCCATTTGCTCTTCTAAGCCTCAGTCTCCCCATCTCAAACAGATGTAAAATCCCCGCCAGGCTTCTGTCTTGTGCAGTGTTGACAGTGGGGGCAGGTGGCCTCAGCAAAGACACCTCAGTGTCTGTCTGAGCTAGAGGCTTTCATGTCCAAAGCTTGGCACCCCAGAGCCTCAGCTCTGCCCTGTTGCTCCCCCAGCTCCGAGTTTGAAGAGGTCACCATCGACCCCACGTGCAGCTGGCGGCCAGTGCCCATCAAGTCGGACCTACACATTAAGGATGACCCCGACGGCATCCCCTCCAAGCGTTTCAAGACCATGAGTCCCAGCCAGATGATCATGCCCAATGTCATGGAGATGATCGCAGCCCTGGGCCCCGGCCCATCCCCCTACCCGCTCCCACCTCCACCTGGGGGCACCAACTCCAGCGACTACAGCAGCCAAGGTGAGTGGTGCCAACAGGGGGGAAGAGGAGGCAGCCACAGGTCTAGCAGGGGCACAGGATTTCTGTGCTAACGATGGGCAGAAGGGGGGTGGTGAAGAGGTAACACCCCCCAAAAATAATCCCCAAAGCACTGGATTTGAAGTGGGTATGCAACTGCCAGCTCTCCTCCAGCCAGTTTTACTGTGGCCACTAACAGAACATACCCACCTGGAGTTCTCAGCTCTTCCCCCAGGCCTCCCGGGGACAGAATCCAGGCACCTGGAATCCCAGCCTTTGGCCACCAAGGTCACCGTCACTGGTTCTCACTCTTCCTGCTGCCCAGACAAAGCCTTACCCCTTAACTGCCCCTTGGTTCCTGGGAAATACCCCACCTTCAAACAAAGAGTGTGGCAGCTCCCCTGCCAGGATCCCTGATCTCAGGTCTGCAGGGCTCCTGGGTGATGAGAGGCCCAGAGAGGTTAGCCCACCTAGCCAGGCTCCTACAACAGGCCGAGGGCCCCAGCCTCCCAGGTCGCCACGTGGTACGGGGCACAGTGGCTGGAGAGGCCAGACCGCTGGCTTCTAATGGTGTCCTCGAGACTGGTGTCGCTTCCTTTGTGACCACCCCCTCTGGGCCTGTGTCTTCCCAGGTATGAAATGTGGTCATGAGGGTGAATAGATCAGCAGATCCTGTTAAAGGCTCAGGCTTGGTCCTGTTCCATGTCCTCACCCCCTCCCACCGGGAGCCTGGTGCACCCCTTCCCTCCTGCCACCCTGCCCTTCCTCTGTGGCAGTCGAGCAGCACACGCCCCCGGGTGCATGGTGCACAGGACGAGGCTGTCTCATGGCTCCACAGTGCAGCAGGAAGTCTGAGACTGCAGGAGCCAGCTCCAGCCTTGAAGAGGAACAGGGCTTGGCTTGTGCTTCTATACACTCCCTCCCCATTCCCAGGGGTGGCCACCGTCCCTTTGGGTGACCATCCCCCCTTCCTCATCTCATTTCCTCCCCAGGCAACAACTACCAGGGCCATGGCAACTTTGACTTCCCCCACGGAAACCCAGGTGGGACGTCCATGAACGACTTCATGCATGGGCCCCCCCAGCTCTCCCACCCCCCAGACATGCCCAACAACATGGCCGCCCTTGAGAAGCCCCTCAGTCACCCCATGCAGGAAACTGTGAGTACCTCTGCCTTGTCCTCCACTTATCCCCACCCACTCCCCAGCCTCTGTCTGGGGCTGGAAGAGGCAGAGAGCTCCCCACTGGGACCTCTCTGATGTGGATACCCTGCTTCCCCCCCAGGCAAAGGGGAGGACTAAGAATTGGGTCTGGGGGCTCAGAAGGTAGTAAGGGGCTGGGTCATAGCCTATCGCCCAGGACTTCGGATAGTCTGGAGATGGGGGAAGAAGCTTCGGGCTCCTCCCTGAACACATACTCTGTGCATACATATGCACACACACGCACACGCACACGTGTGCACACACATACACGTGCA